CAGAATGGCCAAAATCCAGAACACTGACAACCCCAAATGCTGGTGAGGATGTGGGGCAACAGGAAATCTCATTCATTGCTGGTGGGAATGCAAAATGGTACCGCCGCTTTGGGAGACAGTTTGATTGTTTCTTACAAAACCCAACATACTCTAACCATATGATCAAGCAGTCATGCTTCTTGGTAGTTACTCAAAGTAGTTAAAACCTTATGTCCACACACACACAAACTTATGTCCACAAAAAAACCTGCACAAAGGTGTTTATAAGCAGCTTTATTCATAATTGCCAAAACAAGCAACCAAGATGTCCTTTAGTAGGTGGACAAATAAACTGGTACATCCAGACAATGGAATATTATTCAATGCTAAAAAGAAATGAACTGTCAAGCCACAAAGAGCCACTAAAGCCCATCTGAAAGGGCTATATACTATCCAATTCCAACTATGACATTCTGAAAAAGGCAAATTTATAGAGACAGTAAAAAGATCTGTGGTTGCCAAGGGCTAGGGGGATGGGAGAGATGAGTAGGCAGAGCACAGAAGATTTTTAGGGCAGCGAAAATACTCTGTATTATAATGATGGATACATATCATTATTCATTTGTCCAAACCCATAGAATGTACAACACCAAGAGAGAGCCCTACTGTTGAACTAGGGACTTTGGGTGATAATGATTATGTCAGTGTGGGTTCATCAATTATTAGAAATGTGTCTCTCTGATGGGGGGGTGTTGGTAATGGGAGAGGCTATGCATGTGTGGGGACAGGGGATGTATGGGGAATCTGCACTTTTGCTCAATTTTGCTGTATACCTAAAACTGCTCTAAAAAATAAAGTCTAGGATTCCTGGGTGGCTCAGTCAGTTAAGTGTCTGCCTTCGGCTCAGATCATGATCCCAGGGTCCTGGGATCGAGTCCTGAATGGGGCTCCTTGCTCAGCAGAGAGCCTGCCTCTCTCCCTGCCTCTCCCCCTGCTTGTGCTCTGTCTCACAAATAAATAAATAAAATCTTTTAAAAATAAAGTTACTGAAAAAACAAAAGCAGATGAAGCAAAACCAAGAGAAGTTTTCCTGGCCCATTGGAACTCCTTTTGGTTACCCAGTGTAAGGAGTTTTAAAGCTGCAGCTTCAGAAAGAGAGGAGGGTGGGGAGGGAGGTGGGAGCTGGTGGAGAGGTCAGTCTGGCCTACGCGAAGGGATGGTAGTAAGATCGATTCATCAGAAAGCCTTGTTTTCAAACAATGTGATGCTTCAGAGTAAGTCCTTAGGAGCCAGACTGTTCAAATCCAGGTTCTTCTGATAACTAGCTGTGTTTGGGGGCAAGTTACTTAGCCTTTCTGTCCTCAGTTTCCACATCTATAGAAGGAGGGTAATAATACCGTCTAGCTCGTAGACCTATCCTGAAGATGAAATGAGTTAAACGTAGAGCATTTAGAAAGTAGCCGAGCCTTAGGAAGAACTCGGTGTTAGCTATTATGATAGTCCATGAGCAGGACTCTGAGGACCTGCAGGTTAGCAGGGGAGTGAATCAGGAGAGACCTGGAAGAGAATGGTTAATGTTTCACTTGTGCCCAACTGGCTGAGTAATGGGAACCTATGGTCTGTAACTGGCCCTAATGGTTCAAGGTCTGTATCCTGAGAACCCCTCCAGCCATGGTAAAAATTCATATGCTTGAATTGCATACTCTTCTTTTTTTTAAATTTAAATTCAATTAATGAACATATAATGTATTAATTGGTTTCAGAGGTAGAGGTCAGTGATTCATCGGTCTTATATAATACCCAGTGCTCATTACATTACATGCTCTCCTTAATGTTTATCACCCAGTTACCCCATCCCTCAAACTTCCCTCCCCTCCAGCAACCCTCAGTTTGTTTCCTATGATTAAGAGTCTCTTATGGTTTGTCTCCCTCTCTGATTTTTGTCTTGTTTTATTTTTTCCTCTTTTCCCTATGATCTTCTGTTTTGTTTCTTAAAGTCCACATATCAGGGAGATCATATGATAATTGTCTTTCTCTGATTGACTTATTTCGCTTAGCATAATACCCTCTAGTTCCATCCACATTGTTGCAAATGGCAAGATTTCACTTTTTTTGATGGCTGGGTAGTATTCCTTTATATATATATACACCACATCTTCTTTATCCATCTGTCGATGGACATCTGTCCTGTTTCCATGTTTTGGCTATTGTGGACATTGCTGCTATAAACATGGGGGTGCAGGTGCCCCTTTGGATCACTACATTTGTATCTTTGGGGTAAATACCCAGTAGTGCAATTGCTGGGTTGTATGGTAGCTCTATTTTCAACTTTTTGAGGAACCTCCATACTGTTTTCCAGAGTGGCTGCACCAGCTTGTATTCCCACCAACAGTGTAGGACGGTTCCTCTTTCTCCGCATCCCCGCCAACATCTGTCATTTCCTGACTTGTTAATTTTAGCCATTCTGATGGGTGTGAGGTGGTTTTTCCCTGAGAATTATATACTCTTCTCATCCACATAGACGGGATGGATACAGAGTACCACAGGAAAGGGGGATGGAATTCCAAGGGCATCTGAGTGAAAAACAGAGTAGACAGTGATGCTAGTGATAATGCAAAAAACAAACTACCTCCAAACCTTAGTCTCTACCATTGTAATCGTATGGTAGAGGAATTTAAAGAGAAGGAAAGATCTATTTAAACATTCCTGTGCACAGACTTGTAAGTAAAAGGGCACAAGCACATTGCTTTTTATAGCCACTAAAAAGCCCCACAACAATTTGCTCATCAGTATGCCATGTAGCATGGTAGGGCGCCTGGGTGACTCAGTCAAGTTAGTGTCTGCCTTCAGCTCAGGTCATGATCCCGGGGTCCTGGGATCGAGCCCTGTGTTGGGCTCCTTGCTCAGCGGGAAGCCTGCTTCTCCCTCCCTCTGCCTGCTGCGTCCCCTGCTTGTGCTCTCTCTCTCTCTTGCTATCTCTCTCTGTCAAATAGATAAACAAAATCTTTAAAAAAAAAAAGGAATATGGTAGATGGATATGTAGTCACATGGACAGATCTTAAGGCATTTGATAAATGAGAACTTGCAAAACGATGTGCATAGTACGATCCTCTTTATATAAATATTGCATTTGTGTAATTGTACGTGCTTCTCTATAGTTAATTAAAAAACAAAAAAACTGGAAGTGTATACACCAAACTGTTAGCATTGGTTGTCACTGGGAAGAAGAAGAGTTGAGGCATAAAAGAGGGACTTTCACGTTTTACTCTTTTTTGTTTTTAAAGATTTATTTATTTGTTTGAGAGAGAGAGCGGGTGAGGGGCAGGTAAAGGGCAAAGGGAGAGAGAGAATCTCAAGCAGACTTCTCACTGGGCATGGAGCTTGACGTGGGGCTCTATCTCACAACCCCAAGATCATGATCATGACCTGAGCCAAAATCAAGAGTCAGACACTTAACCAACTGAGTCACCCAGGAGCCCCTTTCATGTTTTATTCTTTATTAAGGTTGCCAGATTTAGCAAATGAAAATACATGAAAATACACCTGATTAAATTTGAATTTCAGATAAATAACAAATGGGGTTTTTTTGGTTGTTTTTTTAAACTTTTTATTTTTTTCTTGTTTTTTAAGATTTTATTTATTTATTTGACAGAGTGATAGAGAGAGCACAAGTAGGCAGAGAGGCAGGCAGAGGGAGAGGGAGAAGCAGGCTCCCCACCGAGTGGGGAGCCCGACGCGGGGCTCAATCCCAGGACCCTGGGATCGTGACCTGAGCTGAAGGCAGACGCTTAACCGACTGAGTCACCCAGGCCCCCATGCTTTTTTAAACTTCTTAAAAAAGTTTTTCTTCATTTATTTAAGTAATCTCTACAGCCAGCTTGGGGCTCGAACTCATGACCCCAAGGTCAAGAGTCACATGCTCTTCTGACTGAGCCAGCCAGGCACCCCAACAAATGGTTTTTCAAGTGTTAAGTATGTCTCATGCATAATAATAATATGGTTGTACTTATTCTAAAAAATTATTTATTGTTTATCTGAAATTCAGATTCAGCTGGGTGTCCTGTATTTCCTCTGACAAGCCTACTCTATACATTTGTTTAATGCTCTTTAAAGGGTAGTTTCATGAAATAATTGTATTATTCTAAAAAAAATAAAAAGAAGAAGAATTCTCAAGACAACACAAATATATGTTTAGGAAATGTTTAGTTAAGGAAATTGGCCTAGAAAAGAGCAGATTACAAAGCAGCATGTAAATTAAGACTCCACTTCTTTATAAAAAGAAGAAGAAAAGCACATGTCTGCATGTACTAAAAGGCAGGAGGCTATACATAAGAATATTAACAATAGTTCCCTCTGGTGATGAGATTAGGATGATTTAAATTTCTTGGGGCACCTGGGTGGCTCAGTCGGTTGCACATCCGACTCTTGGTTTTGGCCTGGTCATGATCTCATGGGTCGTGAGATCCAGCCCCAAGTGGGGCTTTGTGCTCAGTGCAGAGTCTGCTTAAGACTCTCTCTCCCTCTCCTTCCCCTCCCCCGCTCAAATAAATAAATATAAAAAATAAATTTCTTCTTTGTGCTTTATGAAGTTCTTTCACAATGTTTATAAAGAACACGCATTACTTTTGGAAAGGGAAAGCGTCGTGTGTAAAGAACACCATTTTCCTGTGCTCCCCTGAGGAGTTGAATATGCCCAAGTTGGGGGCGCCTGGGTGGCTCAGTCGTTAAGCGGCTGCCTTCGGCTCAGGTCATGATCCCAGGGTCCTGGGATCGAGCCCCGCATCGGGCTCCCTGCTCGGCGGGGAGCCTGCCTCTCCCTCTCCCACTCCCCCTGCTTCTGTTCCCTCTCTCGCTGTGTCTCTCTCTGTCAAATAAATAAATAAAATCTTAAAAAAAAAAAAAAAGAATATGCCCAAGTTGTTCCTACTTTCAGCTGCTCTCAGAAGAAAGGGGTGGGCAGCACTGTGAGCCTCACCCTCGGTTTGAGGTTTTAAAAAACCATTCCATCTCATGTCCTGCAGGCTACCTCCAAAAGCAGCCCTACTTTGGAGCCGTGGTTGGCAGGGTGGCCAACCGAATTGCCAAAGGAACATTCACGTTGGACGGGAAGGAGTATAAACTGGCCATTAACAATGGGCCCAACAGTCTGCATGGAGGAGTCAGAGGGTTTGATAAGGTGAGTCAGGGGCACTGGACAGAGTCCTCACCTGGCGTACTTCACAGAGAACCTTCAAACATACCATCTTTTCTCCAGGCTCAATCCTAGGCCCTACAGCAAATGCGTGGGGGAGGTGATAGAGGAAAGAGGCTGATCCAGGGACTCGGGGGGAGCAGATGCGCTGGCCCTGTTCCAGGACCCATCCTTCTGTAGCTCTTCGGACTGTAACAGGCAGGGGAGCCCGGAGTGAAAAGGAAAGACAGGGAATGACTTTCTCCTCGTCGGGACCAGGAAGTCCAGTGGACCTTGGGCGCAACGGAAAAGTGGCTTAAAACTAGTACCTGCCACTTACTGTACAAGGCATTTGCACATCTTCTCTCTCATGCTTACGAGAGCCCTGCGTTATTGCCAAATGAGAAATCTGAGGGTCTGAAAGGCCATATAACGCCTAGGTTGGGTGGCCTGGCCCACAGCCCTCATTTCTACACATAACCGCTGGTGTAGGTGCTCCCGGTCCAACACACACCCCTGAAACTGCCGCTGAGGCCCCACCCCCACCCCACAGTGTGGTGCCACATCCAGGCGTAGCCTTCCACTGAGGTGCCTCATGCCTCAAAATTACCTCAGATCCTCCCCCAGTTACCTCTTTCCACATTAAAACTCCCATTCCCCAAGTGAATCCCTGGAAAAACAAGGTTCGGACTGCCAGCTGATCAGACAGCTTCTCCCTGAAGTAGAGATGCCTGGTGTGCTTCCTAGCTGTGTGGGAGTCAGAGGGTTAACCCCCCGCGACTCTCTTACTAGTCTAATTTCAGGGAGATAATTTTGGTAGCTAACTCTCCTTTAAATTATAGCCCCTCCCCCATTTGTTTCCTAAAGAAGAGCCAGAAAATACTGGAACATGTATGGCAGTTAAAGATCACTGTTTCCTCCTTTCTGCCTCTTACTGCCTCCTGTCCTGTTGAAGGAAGTTGGTCACTCTCTTTCCCGTCTCACCGACTTCCCGTCTGTAGCCTAGAACCGCACTGCCCCGTCTCTTCCCTGTTCCTCCGTGAATGGACTCCTCACACCAGGAAGGCATGAAGGCAAGGGGTAGCCTCGGTCCTAGCAGTACTAGGGCCGAGGGTCTCCGTAATATGGCAGACCCATGGGCAAAGCCCAGCCAGGGGAAGTTAGGCCCAGCTCTGTTCTGACAGGGATTTTCAGAAGAGCCTCAGAACAGCACCTGTTCTGGCTTGGTGCTCTTCCCTCTGTTCCACTGTGGGGTTTTCTGTGGTGTTGCTTCACGTGTGTGCCCTGTAAAAACAGCCCAGTAGTGAGTCAACACATCCTTCAGTGCACTGTGCCTCCTGAGTTCCTTCTGTGAACAGGGCAGCATAATATGGCAGGGATTCCTGAGACTCCCCTATAGCGAGGGAGCCAGACCCTTCGATAAATAGCTGTTCTAGGCAACCAGCCCCCTCATACAGATGCCAGTGGTGTGCTATAGAAACCAGGTGTGGACAGATTCATAGCAACTCAGGAGGGAGGATTGGAACCACCCTTGAAGAAAGAATAGCATTTCGTTTAGTAGGTAGGTCCTGGAAAAAATGGCTGTGCAGAAGCCCAGAAACGGTGGGGGAAAGACTTGGAATGTGATTCCTGGAGATATTGAAAGCTTTTGAACTGTAAGCTTTCGCACAGTGACATGAGCAGTATTGGATGAACTTTGTTTCCAGTTGTATTTCATCTCAACAATTACTGAACAAATAGCTGGTTTGTAGATACGTCTTTTTCTATTTATATCAACACATTTTTTTTAAAAGATGAAATTTGAATAACTTAACAGGATTAGAAATGGCATATAAGTAGGCCTAGAGATGCAAACGTGGAAATTTTTCAGGAAATTCGGAAAGTGCAGGGTCAGGGATATTCTCCCATGAATAGAAATTGTGTGTTCCACAAAACTATACTTATCTGATAATATTGGTTTACACAAAAAACTTTCCACTGTGTTCTTTCTCTGAAGGACAAGACCTAGGTAGCAATTGAAGAACACTTTATTTCAAATATTTTATTCCTAAAATTTTCCATTTGGGGGATTCTTTTTTCTTTTTTTAATCATGCATATAACCGGCTTTTGTATTTTAAGTGTCTTGAAAGTTCAACATTTCTAGGAGATAACTAGGGTGTAAAATTAATTTTTTACTAAGGTCAGTAAATTTGTTTCAGATACCAGCTGCTTTCCCATAGGTAAATGCAGAGACCTCTGCTCCTGCTGGGCTCCCCTTCCTGGTAAAGGTGGGATCTCTCAACATCAGTGACAGAGATCCAGGCCATGCTAGGAGCAGGTGGGCAGAGCCCGGGCTCAAAGGCCATTCCTGTGACCCCACAGAAATTATTATCTTTCAAGTCTATTTGGAATGACAGTGTTTGGCCTCAACTCTTCTGTTGACAGAAGGAGATTCAAACAAAACATTCACTGAAATGAAGATGTGGATGGTGTCGCCTGCCAGGCCTGAGTTTGAATCCTAGCTCTGTCACTAATGACATGTATGACTTTAAACAAGATTTTTTTACCCCTTTAAACAATGGGCATGGCCCCGCAGCGGGCTCCATGCTCGGCCTGGAGTCTGCTTAAGACTCTCTCTTCCTCTGCTCCTCCCCCTGCTTGTGCATGTGTGCATGTGTGCATTCTCTCTCTCTCTCTCTCCCTCTCTCTCTCTATATATATATAATAAATAAATAAATCTTTAAAAAAAAGTTTTAAACAATGAGCATGAAGTATGAAAAGGTTCTACTCAATCCCCCTGGAACATGGGAGGTGGAAGTAGGCAAGGAAACACCACAGAACTCAATTTGCTCATCTGTAAAATGGGGTCATAGTATTAGTTGGAGCAATTTGAAATTGCCAGTGTTCAATTGTTTTGACCTACAAAGATGGTCATTTCATTTGGTTCAACCAAATCTTTACCTTATGAAATGATTTATGTAAAGCACCAGGTCAGTGGCTGATGAGCACCGAACAAATGGACATCTCCTGTCAGCAAAGACCTCTTGATAGTGACCCCCAGGACTCCCCAGAGGGACTGGGCTCTCTGGACAGTATGTCCTCTGATCGCATAGAATAAGGAAAACAGCTCAGGATCAGACCACTGTCTTCTCAGCTGGAAGAAGCTAGGAAAAACTGTGTTTTTTCTGAGCTCAGCTCTCTCATTGTTAAATGAAGATAGTGGTGCCTACATTGAATCAGCTCTGAGACAGATAAGAGAATTTCTGTGAAGTTCCTAGCAAAGTGTCTTGGCTCATCATGGGCACTCAGGAAATCCTGGTTGTCTCTCCCCTGTAAGGGTAATCTTAAGGACTCTAGGGCAAAGGTGAGAGGAACCACTGTGTGTGAATCAAAAATTCCTATTGCCAAAAGCAAAAAATTCTAGAAGACTTTTCTTCATATTTTTCTTGCCACCCTTAGAACCATATTTTCTAGAATAAGAAGAAAACTTCAAGATCATTTTTTAACCCCTTTATGCCAGGGACTGATGCCCGACATCATACACTGAGCTAGGAACAAACCTGGCCCCTAAATCAGGACTCCTGACATGTGGGCAGAACTCTTCCTAATAGAACAAGTGCCGTCTTACTTGTTTGGAACTCTGCCCAGGGAATATAGAATCTTGGAGCATTTTTTATAAATATTCATAAGTAGTACTTCCCTGGGAAAGAGGGGCTGATTTATTACGGTCGTTTTTTAAATACCATTAGCAGATTTTGCTATATGACGTTTATCAGAATGGGGCACCAAGATAAAAAAAAAAAACTTTTAAAGAAGGGGAAGAAGAAAATATTGTAGACACATACATATACGTTTAAAGAGAAAGAGTATGGGGAATATGAGTAGGTAAAGAGAAAGAAAAAATTTTCTCTCAAGATCTTTTTTGTATAAAACAAAATTTTACAACAATTAAAATCCAAGCTATTATTCAAACATCTTGAAGATCATATAACCATTTCTCTTCCTAGAATTAGCTAGCTTTAAATATTGAAACGTGGCATTTAGCTCGAGATTGCAATGACTTAACAGCTTTGAAAACACTTTTCTAGGTCCTCTGGACCCCTCGGATGCTGTCAAATGGTGTCCAGTTCTCAAGAGTCAGTCCAGATGGTGAGGAAGGTTACCCTGGAGAGCTGAAAGTCTGGGTGACATACATGCTGGATGGTGGGGAGCTTATGATCAACTATCGAGCCCAGGCCAGTCGGACCACACCGGTCAATCTGACCAACCATTCTTACTTCAACCTGGCAGGCCAGGTAAGTGGACTTTCCTCAGCTCTCCTTCTGTAGCATAAACGGTAACTTGCCCCTTCTCTCCTGCCATGTGCCTTGTGAAATGACCTGGGGAGTGGCTGGAGAGACCAACCCAGGACGGAATTACTCTTGCAATGGGGTCAACCCTGGCGTTGAAGAGAAATGGCTAGCAAAGCTGCGGACTCATAGTAGGTGCTCAATAAATGGAAGTTATAGAGAAAGATAGAATGAGTACATTGTATTACCCAGAGAATTATCTCTTTCCCACATGTTCAGACAAGGAACCAGCTATTTCAAGAACTCCCTTTCATCTCACTGTAACATGAGCTTACATTTGCTTCCTCATTCCACTCCTACCCCTAAAAGTTTCCAGTTAAGGCACTTTCCATCCTTGGAATTTTAAAAATGGGCTTGGCTCAGCCCCTTTAGACATGCTGCCAACATTTGTATGCCTCCAGCATGTAGCCCACCGTCAAGAGTGCTATAGAGACACTCCTCACCCCTCAGGTAATCCCCTCTACACTACCTTATTCCCTCCTGATGGTAATATTTGAGCTTGTTGAGGAGGCTGTTACATGAGGCAGAGAGTAGAAAGTTTAGCTAAACTCTGTAGACTCTATCTATTACTTCCTCTTCATCTAAAAAGCTCATCATTGTCTACTATACTTGAATCGCTTTGGCATGATTTCCTACCACAAGATGATGTTCACAGCCAACTAGTAATATCTTGCATTTTTACACTCTTTTAGGAGTCTGCTGACGATGTGCTGCTTTTTTTTCTAGGATCTTTCCAAATAGCACAAATTAATTGGTTCTTATGTAATTTCCGAAGTTCTCCCCTTAAAAATAAAGAAGAGAATTCTAAACTTGCCTATTGCTTATCCTCAGAAACTTCCACTGTCCTCCTTAAGATCTTAAAAGACTGGGGCACCTGGGTGGCTCAGGCGGTTAAGCGTCTGCCTTCAGCTCCAGTCTTGACCCCGGGGGTCCTGGGAGCCTGCTTCTCCCTCCCCCTCTCCCTCTGTCTGCCGCTCCCCCTGCTGTGCTCTCTCTCTCACTGTGTGTGTCAAATAAATAAATAAAATCTTTAAAAAAAAAAATCTTAAAGACAAACCAAAAACCAAAACCAAAACAAACATGCCCAGCCATAGGAGGCTCTGCAATACTGTTCATAAAGACCCTACCTTTTCTAATAAGTTCAGAAAGAAACTATTGGTGGTTTTTTATAGGTAGTAGATCATGGTGATTTTTTACTATTTTCCACATTTTTGTATACTTAGGACATCCGATTTTATAATCTAAAGAAATAGATTCAGATATGGAAATGATACATTAAATATGTAACTATCTTCTGATGTATTCCAATCAAGGAGACAAAGTAGGAATGCAGGTTCACTAAGGCTCTGTCCATTTACCAGGCAGGAGGACCCTTGCAGATCACAGACCCACCCACAGGGGTAGTCAACGTTAACTCCCTTCTGTCTACTGTCTTAGTGAGTGCAACTGGAATCCACAGCCCCTAGCTTCAGGGTTGAGGATGGGAGAGGGCCATTAGCCCTTTGGGGCCCTTTGATGAGAGTGGGTGGCCACTCACCAGGCCTGGGGTCCAGGGGCCTCTGCATCTTCAGAACATCTCTTACCCTACCCAGCGAAGCATTATTATGTGTCTTAAACCCTCCCCAGGGAAATAACTCAAAACTTGATCATTTAAGGTGGTCAGCTCATCTTATGTATTTTTGCTTGTTGCTTGTTTATTTCTTTTTTAAATTTAATAAGGAATATGTTTGTTCTACCTGGGGCCAAATTTTGACTCATCACTTCTAAGATTGAGTGTTGATGGCCTGGGGGGAGGAGAGAACTGTGTTTTTCAAAGAATGGAAAAGGTATACGGGTTGCAGGTTGTTTGAGCTTTGTTGTTCTTGTTCCTTACTTACCTAACCCCGAACGGGGCAGTGGAGCAGCCTGGGGGGAATTTGAGATGAAAGGCAATAGTGGGGTTCCAGCCTGACTGGAGAGGTACGTCAGCAAAGACCCAGGTTCTTCCATCTTCCCATTCTGCCTCTTCAGTGTTTTGGCTCTTGTCTTTGGGCTCCTTGTCTCCTGGCCACAAGATGGTTGTGACCTGCAGCTCCAGGAATCATGTCTTCGTGTAGTCACACCCAGAGGCAAAAAAGAGCCTATTCCTTTTTTTCATATCTCTAATGTTCCATTTTTAAGAATAAACAAAACTTTTCCCAGAGGCTCTCCAGCAGCCTTTGCCTCCCAGTTCATGGGCCAGAAGTGTGTCCCATGCCCTGCCTAACCGAGTACCAGCAAGGGAATTGGACCACTCGGTGGGATTAGGGAGGGCGTCCTTTACCCTGAGCATATGACCCTAGCACAGGACGAGTCAACAAGTCAGCGCTCTGCCAGGGGCAAACAAGGGTGCCAGGAAGGGAGTTGCAGTGGCTTGGGGGAGTACTCGAGTGTCGGTGCTACCCTGCAGAGAGGGTCAGGAGAGCTGAATGAAGGCGGTCCTAGTGGCAATGCACGGAGAGGTCTATAAAGCCCCGGGCAGGCCACAAAGGGCTTTATAAATGGTTAATGTTCCGAAAGAGTAGCAGCTGAGCAAAGCTAACCAAAACCAACAGTGAACCCAGAGATGGGCCTCAAGAGCTGTTGGTGGATCAGCCTTCCTTGCCAGGTTTTCATCAGCCTAGAAAGGAAATGAATCCAGCAGGAATATTCCACCAGAGTGGATCATTGAATTATTCCAGGTCAGAAGAATGGTAAAATGAAGCCTGCTTCCCTTTCATAAAGGAACATAGGTGCCGCTTGGTGACCCGATGCATTAAGGGAGTGGCTCTCTCGTAAATCTTCTTTTCCTTCTCCCCCAACCCAGGCTTCTTCCTAACCTCTCAGACTCATCAGTTTATTTGGTGTGTGATTGAATCACTTTTTTCCTGCCCTAGTGCTACAAAACAAACAGAAAAAGGAAATTCCTGAGCAGCTTTATTCATAATAGTAAAAATACTGGAAACAAGCAACAGTCTACCAAATATTCGTACAATGGAATACTACTCAACCTTTGGCTGAGCATCAAGTGGATAGAGCCAAGGAAACAGTCCCCAGTTCTCTTCCCTCATCTCTGCTCCCCTCAGGTCCAGAGGCCTCTTCGGTGCTGGCAGGACCCCTGAGGCATGAGGGGATGGGAGTAGGGGGAGCCCGCCAGGAGAGACCCCCTCTAGTCTAGAGCTGCTGTAGGTGGTGGTGCAGACCCCTCCCATTTTGGACCTCCCTTCTCAGGTCAGAACAGGGACCAAACGAGTGACTAAGGTAGAGACTATGGGAGCAGAGGAGAGGCCTCAGCCCTGGCCTTGTCTTCAGTCCCCTCCTACCCCTGCCCATGTGTATGCACCGGGAGGGCACAAGACCAGGGCAGTTCTTGAGGAACAGAGCCTCCTTGGAGTGTAATTAAAGCAATTTCTGGCCTGTTTAGACATAGATTCTCATGGTCTCTAAAATCCTGGCATTTCTCCTCAGGACGACTCCATTTGATTGTGTGGGCCTAAGTCTTTCTTTCTTTCTTTTTTTTTTTTTTTAAGATTTTATTTATTTATTTGAGAGAGAATGAGAGATAGAGAGCACAAGAGGGAAGAGGGTCAGAGGGAGAAGCAGACTCCCCGCTGAGCAGGGAGCCCGACGTGGGACTCGATCCCGGGACTCCAGGATCATGACCTGAGCCGAAGGCAGTCGCTCAACCAACTGAGCCACCCAGGTGCCCCGGCCTAAGTCTTTCTGACTAGAGGATCTGTTTCGGTTAACCCACAGGGCTCTGCCTCCCTCTGCCTGCTTCTCAATTACCCAGCCTAGCTTTCAGTTTAGCTTAGCTCGGAGTTTCTCAACCCGAGCACATTGACATGTTGGGTCAGACAATATCTTTGTTGCAGGGCTGTGCATTATAGGGCATTGGGCAGAATTCCTGGCCTCTTCCCATTAGATGTCAGTAGCATTACCACCTCCAGTCATGACAATCAAAAATGTCTCCAGAACATTGTCAAATTTTGCCCTACGGCAAGATCATCCCCAGTTGAGAAGCACTAGTTGAGCTTAGTTTTGAGCATTCACCAAGGAGAAACCTTCTCCAGGGGAACCTGGTTCCCCTTCCATGACTTCTGCTGTGGAGCTTGAAAATACACTATTCAAATATAATCCTTTTTATCAGAAACCTGTATGTATCCTTGCCAATTTGCAAGCAGCACAACATAGCTTTACTAAACTGTCCTTCACAAACAGCCTGGAAAAGGTGGAAAAGGAGCATCATTGGCCTGTTTTACCCTGAAGGACAAGAGATTCTAGGCTAAGTGATTTCCCTGGGGCCACTCGATGAGAGCCAGAACTAGACCCCGGGCCTGCTGGCTACTGACCCGTCTTTGGCTCCCCCCGGGGAGGCAGGCCGCATCTTTAATGGAAGAGATAAGCGAGCTCCCAAATGCAGGAACTCTACTTCTGACCGCCTGGCTTCTGTCCTGTGGTAGAGAGTGGGTCCTCTGGGTGGGAGCTGGGCCAGAGAAGGGGGACAGGGTACCCCACCTCCAAGCCTGGAGGCAAGATGTTGGCCATCCAGCACTTGCGTGTTCCAGGTCAACAACTCTCGCTCTTCTGTTTGCCTAGCACGTGGGGAGAGTGGGAGAAACCCCTCTGTTAATAAGCCAAAGTCGAAAAGTCTTTCAAACCACTGATGTCTCTCTGACTTTTCACACTCGTAATTCCACTTAGACAAGAAGATGCATGCTGGGGTCACCCTCAAAAACTTCTTTCAAATGTATCAGTTGCGATGTTGAGGACCTATCTACCTACACTTAAATGAACATATTAATCGTCGCCATAGGTCAAATGGGATTTCTAAAGTGTTTGTCAATGCCTGAAAACATTTCTGCGGAGAAGTTAGAAAGCAAGAATACCTGGGGCGCCTCGGTCGCTCAAGTGGTTAAGTGTACAACTCTTGATTTCCGCTCAGGTCATGATCTCAGGGTCGTGGGATCGAGCCCTGCGTGGGGCTCCTCGCTGAGCGCTGAGTGTGGAACCTGCTTGGGATTCTCTCTCTCTCTTCCTCTGTCCCTCCCTCCACCCCACCTCCCAGCTCACGTGCTCTCTCTCTATAAATAAATCTTAAAAAAAAAGCAAAAATACAAAATAAGACTAAGCATTAGATCTTCTTTTCTTTCTCTCTCTTTCTGTCCCAGGGTTCCCCAAACATATACGACCATGAAGTCATTATAGAGGCTGATGCCTTTTTGCCTGTGGATGAAACCCTGATTCCTACAGGTTGGTGAACTTCAACGTTTTTACGGGAATGCAGAGCTGGGGTGTGACTGAGAGAGTACTGAAACCTCATTTACCTAAAGTTATTTTCTCTGTTGGCCCGCCAAATTGCCTATAATTACCGTGATTAGTCATTTATGTGGGTTAAGGTTGGGTGACCATATAATTAAACACCCAAGCCAGGACACTTTTGAGAGGGAAAGGGGATGCTATTAATAATTAAGCTGGGGCAACTGGGCAGTTCTAAACAAACTGGGTCAGACGGCGATCCTAGCTGAGCCGTAGACCGCAAGAGTTCTCTGCTAAAATGTAAATCAGGTACTTCTTAGCACCTCAGCGGAGCTAAATTTACCTCAGCACTACGTCCCCAGTGCAGGACACTGACAGAACACAACGTGGTTTTAGATGGAGGAGGAAAGGTTGGACCCTGAGGAAGACAATGCATGTGTCACCTCTGAGACACAGTTGGGGGGCTGGGGTAGCATGGAGAGTTCAAAGTATCAAAAGGGAAGGTGAGGTGTTACCAAACTCAAGCCTTATGGGTGTGTGTGTGTGTCTGTGTGTGTGGTGCGCCTCCTAGGTTAACTGGATTGAGATCATCTTGGTTGTTATTATTTGTGAGCAAAACTACCTTAGTACAAATAGGCAAATCCATAGCTCCATAGAGATAGAAAGTACATTAGGAGGTTGCCAGGGGTTGGGGACAAAGGGAATGGAGAGTGACAATTGGTACAAGATTTTTTTGGCAGGGGGTGATGAAAGATTCTGGAATTAGATAGTGGTGATGGTAATATCCTGTAAATATACTAAACATCTGTAAATATACTAAACACTACTAACCTGTGCACTTTAAAAGGGTGAATTTTGTGGTATGGGATTATATCTCAATTAAAAACAAGAAAGAAAGGAAGAAACAAACCAAACAAACTTGGTTTCTGTGTTGTCTCCAGGATTAAGTGGTGTAGATTTGTACTAGATTGCAGGTGCACTGCCATCTGCCTCCAGGGGACAGACGGATGACAGCAAGGTGGCTCGCAGGGGTGCTGTTATTTGTGGCAGCTTATAGAAATTCACTTGAGGTAATTACCCCAAAGCAGTAGATAAATATTCTTATTTGGATTTCATTAAAATCAGAGCTGAGGGGGCGCCTGGCTGGCTCAGTCGTTAAGCGTCTGCCTTCGGCTCCGGTCATGATCCCAGGGTCCTGGGATCGAGCCCCGCGTCGGGCTCCCTGCTCAGTGGAGAGCCTGCTTCTCCCTCTCCCACTCCCCCTGCTTGTGTCCCCTCTCTCGCTGTGTCTCTCTCTGTCAAATAAATAAAATCTTTAAAAAAAAATCAGAGCTGAGGTAAGTGTAGAAGGCTTAGCCAGAGAAAACCAAAGTAAACAAAAGCAGAGGATGAAGGGAAAGAAGAGCAGAAATCCAGAACCACACAAACACTTTTGCATGAGCTCCCCTTCCCCTGGGAAGAAGGGCTGCTGCCTGCTGCCCCTTGCTTGGCTGGCCAAGATCTCCAGCCTGTGTGACAGCGACTTAGAGGTGCTAGGTCAGAGCCCCTTTGTCAGAGCCCTGTTGTCTTGTGTTCCGCTCTCTTAGGCATCCGTTCAGAGTTCCAGCCTTCCATCACCCCATCTGCTGGCAGCTACTCGTGGAAGGTCAGGAAGGCCTTTCCCCGTTCCCACCCCCTGGAAGGGTGCTACTACTTTGCTTGTCTCCTCTGCTAGTAAAGAGCTTAGAATGACAGAATATGAGCACTCTGAAGCCAAGGGCATCATCATAAGTAATCAAGTTTTACATCACCACTAATAAGATGTATTGTACCCTCCTCATATGATGTCCTGGAAAAGCACATCATCTGTGTCATATTCTGTCAGAAATGCCTAACCTCATTCCATTCAGGAGAAGGCATCACGTGAACGCAGTTGAGGGACAGTCTACAAAATAATTAAGTAGTACTCTTCAGGAGTGTCAAGGTCATGGTGGCCTTGAAGCAAGACTGAAGAATGGTCACAGAAGAGACTAAGAATATAAGGACAACTAAATGCAATGGGAGATCCTGGACTGGATCCTGAGCCAGAAAGAGGACCTTGGTGGGAACACTGGTGAAATTCTAGGGAAGCGTGTAGTTAATAGTATTGAACCAGTGTTAATTTCTTAGTTGTGATCATTGTACCATGGTTATCTATGATGTTAACATTGGGGAAAGGACAGGTATACAGAGATGTACTTTTTTTTTTTTAAGAATTTATTTTTAAGAAATCTCTACCCCCAACGTGGGGCTCAGACTCACAATCCTGAGATCAAGAGTTGCACGCCGTACTGACTGAGCCAGCCAGGCACCCCCAGGGATGTACTATTTTTATAACCTCTCTGATGTCTAAAATTATTTCAAATTTTTTAAAAAAAATTTTAAAAAGCCCAGGGCTCCAAGTAAGATATTATTTTTAATTTTCCTGGACACTTGCCTTTATTTATAGGTAAGGGCTTTTGTTTTATTTGGGCATCTTTAAAATAATGGGGTTGTGTTTATGGCCACTAGTTCAAAATTTGTATGAGGAAAATGGTAAGAAGGTGAGCCCGCATACTAAGCAGCAACTTCTGTGAACAGCAGGAATTAGAAACCCATCAACATAGGGACTACAGAGCTAATTAGAATAATAAGGAGAAATCAAGATAAATGGATTAAAAATTTGTGCATCGCAGTTTTCCTTGCTCCAGGGCTGGGATTAAAGGCTTTTACATTTGTCTTGGTAACATGTGTCATCTTCTGATATTTGCGTGACTCAGCGTGAGGATGAGTAAGCCGGCCCATCCTATCCTAGATGCTGCAGGATTGCATTAGAACTCCGGATTGTGAACTCCAAAGGGAAAATGGTGGCGGCTGCTGGTTTGCGACCAAAAAGTAAGAAAATGAATTCAGGAGCTTCTAGGTGGAGGTGATGAAATTAGTGCATATTTATTTGTGTATATTTATAAAATCTTATGTTGTCCTGTTGCATTTTGATCAGATGAAAATCACAAAAATGTGTAACTCATGCCGTGTAAAGAGTATTTGTCGGGGCGCCTGGGTGGCTCAGCTGGTTAAGCGACTGCCTTCGGCTCAGGTCATGATCCTGGAGTCCCGGGATCGAGTCCCGCATCGGGCTCCCTGCTCAGCGGGGAGTCTGCTTCTCCCTCTGACCCTCTTCCCTCTCGTGCTCGCTATCTCTCATTCTCTCCCTCTCAAATAAATAAATAAAATCTTAAAAAAAAAAAGATTATTTGTCATGATGGTAAGAGAGAATTGTGGCAAAGCACCATAGAGCTCAGAAAACTCATGGTCAGCTCAGGTCTGCACTGTGAATGGTTTTAGGATCAAATTTTATACTTTGTACTAATTTTGAACACCTGTGAAGCTGAATAGGGCTGTAAGGGCTCTGGACCCTGGGAGGCAAGAGCCCTGGTTTTGGTCTGGGCTCTGCTGTTAACTCGCTAGGCAGCCTTCAGTGTTTGCGTAATGCTTTAACATTTAACTTCCCTACGCCCTCATTTCCTTTTCTGCAAATGGGAGGGATGTTGAACTCAATCCAATATTATGGACCTGTAAATTTTCTTTAAAAAATAATTTGAGAGATTTACATGGGGTTGCCCAACTTTTCATTTTGCCAAGTTAGAGAGCGATCATAAATATAGGGCTATTAAAACTAATGGGAATGTATGTATATATATTTCAATTAAAAAAAATTTAAACTAACTGAGGTAATAATGAGGAACAGAAATAAATAGACTAGTGGTGCCTGGCTGGTTTAGTCAGTAGGGCATGTGACTCTCAATCTTGAGATCCTGAGTTCAAATCCCATGTTGGGCGTGGAGCCTATTGGGAAAAAAAAAAAGAGGAAGAAATAGACTACATTTATTTTTTTCTAAAACCCAAGCTGCTATTTATAATCACCATCTTTTTATAAAAGAAAATATTTTAACAGCACAAAAGTGGGGAAATTTTAATCTCAGAATAAAGAACACCCCTTTAAATTGAATTCATCTTGCTTTTTAAAGAAATGTGATAGGTTATCCAAATATATCTCTGTTTTCTGTAGACCAATAAAAATGTTATCATGGACTCATGATTGTAAACCAGTAATTGGTCTGAAAGATCACTTGGAGTGCTTACATTCCATGATTCTATAAGGCTCTTATTATAACATCTTACTGCTATTTTTCTGCCACCCTTCAAATCCATTAGAACTCTGCCATGAAAGCAGATAAGTTGCAACAACTTCAGAGCACGTACAAAAATCCCTAAGTCTCTTTTACCTTCCATACATTAGCCAGTCCAACAGAGGTTATGTCTGTTTGCCCAGTGACACTTCAACTGAAATTATAGGGTTGTTTCTTCCTCCCCTTTGTCAGAAATGTGTGAGAAACAAATGAATTGTGTGTTTGCTTCGGCACTGCCTCCAGAAATGGGCGGTCACTTCCACTCTGCCCTGCCCTGATGGAAGAATTCACATGTCTGACCCTCTTTCAGCCAAGAACAGATCTCTGGGAGCCCAGATTTCATCGGATTCTTAACCCTGACCCAAAGCCCATGAGTGTGTGGCTTAACTCTGAGACCAGTCCAAAGTCATTTGGTCATTTGGAAATGCCTCCCCTCTGCTGCTGGCTCACCAGGAATGGACAGTCTAGTGGAGGAGTCAGCCAGAATATTATCCATTCACCTGGCAAATGTCAGGATAGATGGAACTCAGAGACTTGCTTCAGAGGAAAAGCGCGGCCTGGGGGCTCCCAGATGGAGGAGATGCGAGTTAAATAAAACCTGCAAGGGCAAGTGGAGATTTGCCAGGCAACGAGGAGAAAGGTGTTCTGGGTAGAGATGAACAAGGAAAGGGAGTGCAGGAACAGCAGGACTATGCCCAGGAAAGCGCTGCGCTTCTGAAGGATCCGGGGCGTGCTCTCAGTGGCAGAACACCAACGGGCGCAGAGGGGTTGGCTCGGACCATGTCAGATCTGCACCAGGCCCTCGTG